CAAATTGCAAGAGTCATCCCACTCCCAAGCTTCCCAAGAGTCGGGCTCTGACTGCCAAGAGTCCTTCGACTCCCAATTGCAAGAGTCATCCCAATCCCAAGCTTCCCAAGAGTCAGGCTTTGACTGCCAAAAGTCCTTCGACTCCCAATTGCAAGAGTCATTCGACTCCCAAGGCTCCCAAGGGCCTGCTGTGTCACTTGCCATTTCCCAGGACCTTGTATTGTTTGGCGTTGCTGAAGACTTCCACCGAGCCCATGCATTGCTGGTCTTGGCCCAAGACCTGGTCGAGTCCTTCCACGGCACCCTGGTCTCGTCGTCAGAGTACTCGGTGTGTCCACTGTACTCGCTGACACTCTTTTCTGATGGTGGCATGTGGATCAGCTCCGATCAGAAAAGTACTTTGCACAAGGCAAACAACAATCGGGAGGACATTCGATTGAACAGATCTGATCGTTTCTGCATGCAGACATGCACACTACAGAGATTTCATGTCCCTTTGACTGCAATACGAGATAGTTTGGTTTCAGTCATGCGGTCTATTGTGCCCTAGAAGTCCAAAGACTATATTTTGACCGGCTGAAGTAAAGGAAGTTCCCGAAATCAGGTCCCCTAAAGACCATTCTTGTTATAGTCTTTGACTCCCAGGGTGTGTATAATATAGTTCATAATAGCTCTTCAAACACCCGACCGGGCGCTCACGAAACTCATTGGACCTGAGAGCCGGAAAGCGCTCAAAGCACCAGCACGAGCCCTTCATTTGCTGACGCAAAGCACATGATTGGCAGGCAAGAAAACATTCAACACAGCAAGCCTTCTGAGAGAGATGTCTTCTCCAAGTGGTAGGGTATATGCTCAAAGTGGTTCCATGTCCAGGTCGCGATTCGTCATCGGCTCATCGATCGGCTCGCTCGACCTTGACGGCCACCGTCTTGATGTCGCTCTTGCCCAAGTCGAAGGCCAGGCGGCAGCCGTTGGCGTCCTTCCCACAGACCTGCCGTTCCCGTCGCGGTTCGAGCAACGGGAGATCCGGGGTGCGGCTTCCCGGTGGAAGGCGAAAGGCAAAAAGGCCAATTTGTGGCCCTCTAGATGACTCTATAGTGGTTTTGGGTGGTAGCGAAGGTAGGCCGGATTTGCCTGTATTTGCCTCATGTTGCACACATAGAGCTTTTGGGATGAGGATCCGGATGGGAGTTGCTCTCAGAACGTTGGCCTCCTCCCGCAGCCGCGGCTCGCCAAGAGGGGCTGGACGTGCCGAGTCGTGAAAGCTGGGTCCGCCTGAGGTGTGTCCTTGTTCTCGGGGATCTCTGACTCATTCTCCACGACCTTCACCTCACGGCACGGTGACTGTGGGACTCCTGGATGGGCTCTGGAAAGAGGTGTTTCGGGTGCGGAGTTGAGGCACAGCATGGGGGGGCATGTGGCTGTAAGTCTAAGTCATAAAAGCCGACAAGGAATGAGTGGAAGATAGGGAAGACTGTCTTTTCTCTGCAGAATCAAATGAAAGGAATGAGTGGAAGATAGTGGTTCTCTCTGCAGAATCAGGACTGCTGGTTTCTTTCCAATTCCCGTATTCCAAACCCAAAGGCTCCGCAAATATGGCCTACATGATCCTACATGAAAACCACCCCAACATCCACGAACGAGTCGCGTTTTGGGAAACATGACCTCATGACCTCATCATGCTTCATCGACGTGTTCTTCTTCGGATTTCTTGCCGATCCGATCGACATCCATGGGCCCCACAGAACGCGCCGCTTGCAGCGCCTCGAAGGGGGTCTCGGGATGTCCACAGACCTTCGGCATGGACATGACTTCAAACTCATAAGCGCCACCTGGACGTGCTCCGCGATCCGCGAGCCGCAGATCCGCGAGCCGCAGTGTGGAAAAAGATGAGGGAGGGTGTGAAACACCAATCGCAAAAACCACCCCAATCACCCAATCACCCAAAAGGTCTCGTTCAGCATACTTTTCGACCATGCCTATACAAATTCATTTGCATGCTCCAAAATGGTGGACGAACTAAGATGACAGTTGGGAAGTTCTACTGTGAACAGCAGGAGTTCTGAGGTTCGCCGAAATGTAGGTCTTGCAGTTATTGAAGGGTGAATACTGGCCTGCATAAAGGGACGGCGGTTTTCAGGTCTATTTGTCAGTTGGAAGACAAACAGCACTTCTTTCCAAAAATGTGGGCACAAAAAAGTAGCTGTTGAACAATTTCGGTTTGTCAAAGTTCCTAACTTTTGGGGAGACACACACACATATATCATATATTTATATATGTACAATCTAAGCACATAAATGTCTTTCCTAGATTGCTCGTGCCAGGTCGAGTTATACAGGATCATCCCCAAACACAAAAACTCCACCATTGCAGCTGCAGGTTTGAAGGAATGCCTTTCACCAGTGGAGCAGCCAGCGGACTTGGCTTCGATCATCTCATGATCTCATGATGAATTCCTCACCTTTTGACAGGAATTTTGCTTGTTGCTCGATACCAAAAAGGTATGCCGTTTACTTTATATAGTGGATTGAGAGGACCAATGGCACAAACCCCCAAGGTCGGTGGTTTAGTAGTGGACCCCCATTTGTTCAGGACATCTTGGGGTCTGTGCCATCGAGCTTCGGAAACCACTGTATTTGGGATTCCAGGAACGACAGCAACTTGGAGTGCACCGTGTGCATCTTTGGAACACCACGACAGCATCTGCGCCTGTGGAGTAGCACTTCTGCAAGTACTTGCAGATCCTCAGCAGCAGCCCGTACAGTTTTCGACCGGTGGCAAAGGCTCGGCGTTGAGCCATTCTCCCGAGCCGGTTCCGTGGGAAATTAAAGGTTTACCGCACTTTCAGCCTAGTTAGATTTCGGTGGGGTGTCCTCAATTCTCCAAGAAAGGTTAAAGGTTATCCACAGACTGGATAGACAAGTGCTTGGCTTTTCGATCTTGGCAATTTTCCAGCTTGTGTGAGCTTCTGGCTTTCGGGTGCTGTCTCAAAACACCAGTTGGCCTATGCCTTGCCTGCCGCCGATTCCTTCCAAAAAACGCAGGAGCTTCCAATATCTTTCACGGTCTCTTGCTCTCACAAGGCTTTTAATGAACTGACCAATCCCAAATCACCTCTGAAACAGAGCTTGCTCTTGCGATCTCTTAGCTTGAGATCGCTTGAGATCGCTCTGGGTGTCTCGCGTCCCCCCCGTGCTTCGTGCGGTGCGGCAGCCACTTGCGCCGCTTAGGTGCTTGGCAGGGCCGTGGAGGACCATGCTGCTAGCGCTTCGCTGCCAGATCATCTCTTGGATAAGGATCCCAGCCTTAGTGGTTTCAGAGTAGGTTTAATGACACATGTCCAATTTGAGTAAGCCTTACTAGTGGTTTCAGTACGTAACTCAATGGCACACATGTCCAATTGGTTGAGTAGATCCCTCCGTCATTTCAAGACATCGACTGTGGTGCCAGTGCCTCTGAAAACACGGTACATCACTACACCACCTAAGATAGGTTGCATCGTGCCACCTAAGATAGGCTGCACACAACAAGACGTCGCACTATGTCATCAACAAAATCAACGCCTTTTTGTAGCTGTGTATTTTGATCGGGAGACCCTTAACCAATGGGTTTGGGTCGATTTCCATCCTTCCAGGGGGTCTTTGGGAGATCTCACCCACATGCAGAAAACGGCACTAATTACTGAGATGGTCATCCATCACCAGTGCCAGAAATATTTTTTGACTCTAGCTGATGTGCCCGTTTCATGAATTGCCGATCCTATCGAGTCGAACATGTGTTTTGGGATGTTTTGGGTGGCTGTCTATATGGTTCTTGGTGCAGGACATCAATACCCTACACACAATATTGTGCAAGTCCAGGAAAGATGGTGTTCTGAACAACTTGTGATATGATAGATCGAAGCAGTAGCACAAGCTAGACATGTGGAATTCCAACATGACTTCGTCTGTCAACCGGGCTGGCTCATCTTCTGATCCGGCGACATTCCTTCTTGAGGATTCTAAGGGTTGCAAAACTCCCTTGACTTGTCCCTTTCTTTCTGGTATTTCTTAAAATCACCTGACTTGGATTAGCTTGGATTTTGGGGGTCAAAAAGATATCCCCCAGAAGTGATATACCAGTATTAACTATAGTTGAACCCATAACACAACCAAATGTTCACCAGATTACCCGCTCAACCTGAGTTCAACAAACATGCGGCACATCTTGACCCCAAGTGGCCAGGTACGCAGACGCACGGGCGTCCTTGGTGCCCTCGGGGAAGACAGGCAAGCTGTAGCGGCCACAGCCATCGCTGCGAACCAAAGCCTCACTGGTCAGCGGCGGTACATGGTCGACGCGAAAGAATAGCTGGAAGTTTAAAGGCCAATTCTTAGGGCGCAGAAGTTCCGGAAGTTGTTCCACCAATTTCTTGGAGTAACCGTTAGCTACGAGGTTTCAACGCTCCAGGGTGAAAGATGTGAAAGGGGCTCCAGATTTTGTCCCACATCCACATCAGATCGAAGCTTCAACACGCCGGCAATTCTCTCTGAGAAGCCCAGGTCAACTTGTCCTTGCAATCCTGCAGGAAATGGGTGGAAAAAGGACACACGGTTCGGTGAAATCGTTGTGCTCTTGGGCTGGAACCTTAAAGGGGAAACCGGTCGTTTCCTTGATACCTGCATTTTCCTATGCAACATATCTGCCTTCCATGCAGGTTTGCCAGGCGCTTCCTCCACTGTAGCTCCCCCGAAAGTCCAACAAGAAACAGCGGGCCCCACTGCGGAAACCAAGGGTTGGAGTTGCAAAGATTTGGCCAGGATCAGGGACAAACATCGTTCATCCATCTTCGCCAGGGGATTGGGGATTCACCTATTCTTGAAATCTCTTCTATACCAACAGAGGTTAAGTGACCTTATAGGACCCTACCAGGGTACCTATGGGATAGCCTATAGGGTTCTTCAACCTCTGTTGGTACCGATCCAAAGAGTCTGGGATATGTCGGACGTCCACTCCAAGTCGTGTGAACTGTGCGAACTTCTTGCTTCTGACTTCGAGCAAGGCGGCTGTGTGAACTGTCCTTTTCATTACGAAAGATAGACATCCATATGTATACATACCTGGACCTTCAAAGGGGTGTCCTGTCTGGAGATCCCTAGGTAGTGTAGGGGCTTCCATTGGTGACCCCTTTGAAGGTGCTGGTACATGTCATAAAATATTTATATACCCCGTTTGTGACCCCAATGTAAGTAACTACATGGATGGTATGGGAATGATAGACATAAAATACTTGTACCCAAACAGGATGCTCCATGTACCACTCAAGGATCTCTAACTTCGGAACCAAGCACCGTCTGGACGAACCGTCACCGAGACCTCTTAGGGTCCAAGGATCAGACCTAAGTCGGGTGCTGGTGACCCAACAAACCAGGGCCAGCCGGATGTCACCGCCAAACACCCCACGCCAGCGTAGGTAGCGGTGAGGAGGCCCCCCTCTGGGGGGGGGGTAGCGGTTCCTTTTCGAAGACCAGTGACCCTCACAATCCTTTTGCATCCTTTTGCCCCCACCTCCACAATAGTCTGTCCTCCTCAGTTCTAACATGGTCCAACAAACGAGCACGCCCAGCTACTTGGCAGTTAACAGCCACTCCCAGAGCTGAACCATGTTCCAGCGAACACACATACACACACCTAAACCATATTTACACATGTACACCAAAAAACAATAGCCACGGCCACCAACAAGCAGAGGCGGAACCCGTTGCAAAAAACGCCGTCCTTTGCAGCTTCCATGTACTTCTGCTTTGCCAAAATCAAAGGGCTGAAACCTGGATCCAACGGCGCTTTCACCTGTCCGGCGAGAACAAGTGGCTTTCAAACGGCGCATGGCGAGTCAAATCCGGAGAGACCATGCGGTTTCGTGTGGGGATGGTTTGTTTTGATTTTCCATGAAAGAACCACCGACATCCGACGTGTTGAAGCCGGTTTGGCTCTAAGATTTAGGAGATGTTTGCGATGTTTGGCAGTATCCAGTCTTTCATCTGCACTTCAAATCTCTTGAAGGTCCTATCTTCCTCCGTGAAACAAACAGCTGCTCAAATGACCGCAAGCCCTGCGAACAATGGAACTGCGCCAGATTGTTTAGCCTATCACGCACCCCTCAGTGTGACTCCTGCAGTTTCCCGCAAGAAAACAGCTCTCCTCTTGGCACTCCCAAACCCTCCCGAAGAATCCCGAAGATGTTTGAGACCCCAAACTCGTGAAGATATTCAGCTTCCGTCATCCCACCTGTTACCCAAACACTCCATAAGACTGGAAGATTTACCTACCTTGGCAGCCCAAGGGATGGGTCGCTCCGAGACAGGTTGTGTCTGTCGACGTAAACTTCGTGGTGGCGATGCGTTAGTTGAACCCAAAGGCAGATCCTCACTCTGAAAGAACCTGGTACGAGTATGTGGTTTCAGAGGTTCGATAGCACTGGCACCCCCAAGATGTCTTAGACAGCTGGGGGTCCTTTTATATCCTTTTATTAATGACATAAACCAACCCTTTCGGGATTGTACCATCGAACCTCTGAAACCACATGACACCACGGATCATCCCGAAACCATTGACTACCCCCACGACCTGCAAGGGGCGGACCCTGAACACCCGAATCAAAAACAGGTACGGTACGACTGATTACGGCAGTCTCCCACGTGTCGCACCAACTGAGACGCCAGGTATTTGCAGGTAACTTCTGAATCTCCACCGGACACCCTAACAGTATATGAATTACCATGGGATATTGTCAGACTCCCTTAGTTTTTGCTGGAAGTAACACCTTTTCCCATCGGTTCTTGTTTACTGTCTATAGTGGGGAAACGGTTAAGACCCAAAACCGACACGTTGCCCAACGACTGGGTACTATAGGCTTTATACCCAGAGCATCCATGTATGGCCTACATTGACCCCTGAAATCACCTCAATGTAGGCAAACATGCAATATGTAAATACCTGGACCTTCAAAGGGGTGTCCTGTCTGGAGATCCCTAGGTAGTGTAGGGGCTTCCAGCCAGGTGACCCCTTTGAAGGTGCTGGTATATGTGCATGTATGTAATCAATCCCCAAAACAGCTTGAACGTTGTCCAGTGACTGGGTATTAGGTTATTATACCATGTATTACTCTAATATTATGTGACAAATGCATGACCGTTTTCTGCCCCTTTCGCTTGGACCCTCACCTTCGGCTTTGTCAAAAGAAGCTTTCGGGCGGCAGGCGGCATCACAGCACCGAAAGCTGCCTTCCCACCATCCTACGAGGGGCAGGAGCTGAAGTTAAGGGAAAACATCTCATCTCCAAGGATGACCTGGACCCTCGAAGTAACTCTTGAAAATGAGTATAGTTACACATATTACCATGTGCAAGTATACCCGGTTTGGGATCCCAGTACTCTAAAAAGTGGGTTACGAGATGGTACGAGTATATATATCCTGTTTTGTGGTTCAAGTCCAACATGTCCCATGTTCCAGCACATGTCCTTTTTTCGGATCACCGCCTACAGCCGTGGAACCCTCACACCAGAACCCTCACACCAGAACCCTGGTCTCATGCCGCATTGCGGGTGTCCCGAGCTGAAGGGTCTGAACACATCGTCTGAAATCGCCTGTTCTGCTTTCCGCGTCACAGCGCGCTCTTCCGGGGCTCTGAACCCAGGGGCTCTGTCTTCCAAGGGCTATGAACCAATTCGGTGAACACGACGTGAAGAACTGGGGACCCTCCAAACCCACTGATCAGTGTCTCCAATCACCTTCTGAGAAGCTACGACTGGATCCCTAGGGGAAGAACTGAGGCGTTTGGAAGCTTTGAGGCGTTTTGAAGCTGAAGGGCTGTTGGAGATCGGTCGATCGGCCAAACGCCGACGGATGCGCTGCACATCTGTCCCCATTGGGGCCCACACAGAAAGTCTCGAGTTCAGACAGTCTTGGGCCCGCACCCCGTGTTTGGATGGAGTCGACACGACCCAAATAGACAAACATTGTAAGGATAGATGATATCTCATCATGCAAGTTACTGCAAGGGTTTCAAGTTGATTTAGGTATGTTTTATGGTCAACCAATTTGGTTGACTGCTCTTTGAAGGCCACGTTCTTCAGGCCGTCCCGTTCGCCCACCACCCTCCTCTTTCCGCCCAGACCCACGAAGGGGTCGGACGTCGTCGGACCGTGCGCTCCTTGGACATGGGCACGATCACCTTGGAGCGCAACCGCTCGGCTCCCAGCCATTCGTCGTACTGCTTGTCGTAGCCGATGAACGTGACCTGCGCGGGGTTCCGTTGCTGGGAGCGGAGGTGAAGGAAGGGGGGCGACCGGAACGGTGGGGATGAACGGTTGGACGGTTGGGGTGAATGTCAGGTGTTTGACATCTCATGGCGAGGTTTTGGAGCATGACAATTCCCTGGAGCATGAACATGGATTTGATGTGAGTCAGGTGTTAGCCGCTGTTCTCTTTTTTGTATTGTGGGGGTAAATAGCTTGATGTGAGCGACGTGCCTTGATGGGACATGTTGGTTCAATTCTGACCAAGCTGGGCTCAAAGCAGTTGGAACATGTTGGAACACACACTTCAAAGTCAAATCTTTCTGCTTGTGGGCCTGGCGGCCTGGCGTGCCTCACCAATCACAGGTGCGACATCTTCAGAGGCTCACGAGTTGCACGTGTGGCTTGTTCAGAAGGACTACATGTTCAAGAGACCAAAAACAAAGATGTTCAGCTTCCATCACCTCACCTGTTACCCAAACACTCCACTCCATGTATGAAATATGTGCCAACATTGACCCCTTTTTCAACCACCCCAATGTACAAGGACAATATATATATATATATATGCCAGTCCCATAGATCATGTTGGGGTTATGCCATGTCAGCCTTGCCTCACCCAGGCGCCCACACAACTCTGTGCGGCATTGACGGGCCTTGACAGGGGCATCCTTCCTCTTCTGGGAGACAGCAACAACCTGTGGAGTGAGAAAAAAAGCAAGAGAACAGCGACTCGTGGGAGAGGAAGAGTGGCATTTTTCACCGTAACGTAATTGGATGCATCATGATGTATCTCCCGATCTTCAAAAAGAAGAGAACATCTCTGAAATAAGGAGTTGTTGGATGTTGGAATCGATCTGCAGCTTTGTTTTGTTGAACCGAGAAGCAGGTGTCTGTCTTCAGCAAAGAAGGAGGTGCTTTCAAAGACTAGGGAGCGTGCATATAAGTAAAATCAAACAACAGCTTACTCCTACGTGAGTGTGGACTGCGGAGGCTTGTTCTTCGCGGTGTCTGTCAAACGATCTATATGTTAAATTTGTCAAGCATGCAGAAGGGACAGCCAAACAGACCCGGCCGGAAGCAGTTTCTGATCAGAACGGCCTCGGCTGCCCAGTACTTGCCATCGGCTTCCGCCTGTAGGCGCATGCCCTTCTGCAAGCCTTCGGGGGCATGTCCGTCGTTTTCACGGACGTCGGGATCCAGGTAATAGTTGGGAGACGTTGGGAGGAGCACTAGGTATGGTAGCAGTATCAAGATCAAGGCTTTGTGTATGCCAGGTGTTGATGGTTGCAGGTGGCACCGCCAGAGTTGTAAAAACAGAATAAGAACTGCTCAGGATTTACCGTCCAGAACTCGGCAAAACACATCGAACACAATAATCCCCAGGTTCAGGGAACCACCGGGCATTTCTCCAGAAACGCCCCAAAAAAACCGCGATTTTCCCCCCCTCCTCTGGAAAGTTCCCAGCTTCGGATGCTGGGAAAAAAACAGATCCGGCCGAAACAAGGAGGTCCTTTTTCGGCAAAGGAGGGGTCGATGCCAAGTACCATCCAAATACCATATATACTGTATCATAATATTGGTTGTTCATGTGGGGTGGTCCCCTACACCCACCAATAGTAAAAAGGCCATCTACGACCCGAAAAAAGAACAAAAAGCACTGCCCCAACCCACCGTTTCACATTCCACTGGCAGAGAGGCCTGAGTAGTCCATCTGGGGCTTCGCCTTCGCCTTGGCTTTCGCCTTGGCCTTGGGCTTCGGAGCAGCCTTGGCCTCAGTAGCCATGGCTTTTTACGCAGCAGCGCAAGAGGTGGAATGGGAGGACGTTCAAAGCAATTCCTTGGGCAAGTCCCGCCGAAAAGACCTTTGGGGTATTTGCCTGGGTGATGTGGAGACTCTTGTTCGCTGTTTTGGAAGCAGCTGACCCCAAGCTCGAGGTGTTGGGATGTGTCACTCAGTAACCAAGCTTTACCAACTACACTCCGGACACAGCGAAAACCACCAATTGGACCACCTCTTCTCTCAATCTCCGACTCCCCCCGAGTTTTGCAAGAGAAACACAACGACCTATGCCCGTGATCCACTCACTTAGGGACTAAAAACCACTCCTTTGTGACTCCTGGAATATTTTATAAGATACATATATATATATACATTGGGAGTCAAAGACTGTAAACATAATATAAAAGAATGGTCTTTAGGTGACCCGAAAAGGAAGTTCCTTTACTTCAGTCGGTCAAGATATAGTTTTTGGAATTCTAGGGTATATGATTACAGTGGACTTTAGTCGACCTTGTAGTAGAAAACAACACCCAAGAGATCCCCTCACTACTGATGGTCCGGACCCACCAAAATAAACGCGGCCCTGGGGCGGTTTTTCTCCAAGCGGCTGGTGCCTTCTCCTTGACAGGTGCCTTGGTGGCCCCTTTCAATGCCTTGCACCTGGGCGACCGTCAGTTCTGGGAAGTTCACGAACCAAAAATCAACGACAACGACATGCAAAGAGCGGTGTTCCGCTCGCACAAAGCATCCACCCAAAAGTTTCACCATCAAAAAGACCTTGGAAACAACTTCTTTTTTTTTGGCGGGGGGTTGACCTTTGTGTGGTTTGTTGTTGGTGGGGGACACATGGAAGTGCAATGTAGACTCTTGATTCACCTGTACATCCTATACATGATGGACCCCTTTTCCACCGTCGGTAAAAGATGCCAATCCCACTGGAACATTGGTAGAACGTCCCCCGTATTCCTTTTGGGGCGCCAGTGCAACGACAACAGCTGTTCCAGTGCAACGCTTCGCGACGCTGGCGGCGTTGGACGTCTCGTCTCGTCCGGGGGAGTGATGAACAGTCGTCCAAACCGATGAATCCAAGCGCTACACAGACGGAGCACATGGACCCTGACAACTTGAGAGAGGAGGGGGTGAACGAAAGGTAGCAGGCAATCACAAGTAACCCTGGTAGAAGTCCATGACGGCGTGAACCGGCGCAGGGGGGATTTGATCCAGGGCGGGGGGGGGGGGTTGGGTGGGGGGGGGGGGCCCCCCCCCCCGACGAACCGAATCAACTCTTACAGGACCAAACTCAATGCACAATCCCAACTCCTGATTGTAATACATTTTTGCTAAAGCAAGGAGAACTCAGGTAGCTCAAGCTACCTTTCGTGATTTCAGCCATGGTTTCGACCATTGTACGCAGTGGTTTTTGGCGGGGGTCCATGTGAATCTGCAGGAGGGTATATCAAATGTTAAAACAACTCATGACGGAGACTCCGTGTTCTTTGAGGTGGAAGGGATTCATCGGTGGTGTCTACTCTCCCGCAGATTCACATGGAAGTCCAAGACTACTGGGTTGGTCTTCCTTCAAATGGTCGAAGATGACCTGGTCAATTCTCAGGTTCCATGTTCGTTTTGCCGTGGCGTTTACTACCAGCACCTTCATGTCGGGGCCACCTGGCTGGGTTCGCCCCAGCCCACTACTATCCGGGACCTCCAGACAGGACACCCCCTTGAAGGTCCAGGTAGTCTAGGATAGTCTAGGCTTGTCCAGCCAGGTGATGCCGTTGCTTGTCGCGCCCGGTTGACGTGCCACGAAGGCAGGTAAGTTTACTCTTTATAGGCAGGCTTTAAGATCTCTTCCTCTTCCACGAAGGCATCCAAGCGAAGCTTGCGGGGATCGAGAAACATGACCAGTGGACGTGGTCGAAAAGGAGATCAATGTATAGGATGTATAGGTACATATGCCAAGCCCACTAGTCATGTCTGGACTTGTTTTTGTTACACCAGGTGCCAGAACTGACTTCGGGCTTTCCTTTGTGAAGTCATGTTGAGGGGTGGGGAGAGGGCCGGTATTGTCTAGTGGCTGACCCGGGTTCAATCCCCGAGTGCAGCACTAGGCGGATAGGCGGGCCACTACCCCACCCCTGCAGTTAAGGGGATGAGCTAGGGTGTGGATCGTTGAAACACAACGACAACCGCCATGTTGAGAGGTAGGGATGTCTTTTCCTTTCCATCCCGAGGTTGGTTTCGTCACCAAACCATCTTATACCCTGGAAGTCCAAAGACTATATTTTGACCGACTGAAGTAAAGGAAATTCCTTTTCGGGTCACCTAAAGACCATTCTTTTTATGGTCTTTGACTCCCAGGGTACATGTAGCAGCTGCTTTCTCCTTTTTATATGTTCGCAACCTTTCGGACACAACGAGGGTTTCTCAGTTGTGGCGATACACCGTGGAAGATTCACATGGAACCTGACACCTTGGTGGCTTCATTGACCCTCAACACCAGGACCCTCCACTGGCCCTGAGATGCCCATTGAGGGCCCAGATTCTGAGGCACACACACAACTCCCCCAAAAACAACACATGGGATGAGGCACACCAGAGGGTCATTGCGACAGGAATATTCATAACCATGAATTCACTAGAACCAAACTCTCCAAGGGCTCCATTGGAGCTCCATCCTTCGCCCAAGGCACTTGAGCATGTCCAGAGACAACCAGGCATCCTCGCCTTCATAGCCTGGTCGAGAGCAGTCTGGACCGCTCTGCGTTCACGGCGAAGCCCCAAGCGAGGGTTCTTGACCGATCAGTGCTCGGACATGGTATGATCTCAAACATCTCATGGTAACCAATGTCGTACAAAACAAATCATGCTATAAAGCTAAAAACATGGTCAACAATGTCGAACGATACCTCATTCACATTTGTGGATGTCTTTGTTTGAGAGATTTCACTACGCCTGGCACTCGGTCACTCTCCAGCGCACTCATGTTCGGAATACTTCAACATCCACCAACCATATCCAACCATCCCTGGCCTAACACATTCCACACGATTCCGCACAAATCCTCCTCGTCTCGTTTCGGTCTTCGTCACTTTCGCACCGTGGGTTTCGGGGCGACGCGTGATGTGTCCACCAGGGATCGCGATCTCCAACCTATACCCGACCCGGACGCAGGTGTTCGCGGCGTCACCCCGACGCAGTTTTGTTTCCGCGCCACCTGCGAACGCGATCCAGTCGTCCGGTCCTCCGGTCATCCTGGGACCGAGGTACCCATGTAGTGCACCTTCACTGGAGCCTTCTTCTTCTTGGGAGAGTAGGAGATGTTGGTGATCCTCAAATGACATCCACATGCGCGCGATATATTTTGCATGACATCCACATGCGCCGTCCTCAGCTACTTAAGGAATGTGTTGTGTGTGTGTGTGCGCGTTTATTTGATTGTTCGTTTGTTGGTTTGCTTTGTTTGTTTGGTCTTTGTCTTATAATTGTTTTAGTCTTTTGTTTGTTTGTTTTTGTTAATCTACGTGCCGCGCTCATGGCGCTGTGAGTTTTGACTCGCGGCCAAGGTGAATCCTTTGTCCTGTTGCTGGAAGAGTTCTTCTCCTGCACTGCAATGAATATGAATAACACACGGTCAATACTTTGATATCCAGAAGCTCTCCAGCAATGTTTCGGACATTCTTCCGCAGTTCGCAAGAAGTACGAGCTCTGTTCCCTCACCACCTTCCTGTCTGTGATCCACATGTTTGGATTGTTGATAGCACAAAGCGATTTCGGGAAGCACCCAGCAATTCCAGAGGAGACATTGATCCCTAAGGCATGCATCTATGGAATAGGAATGCCATCCTAAGGCATACTTAAGAGATCCTAAGGCATCCTAAGGCATCCATCCTATGGAATAGTTAACTTACATCAGAGATCATTCCGAGTGGGGTAAAATGTAAGTAACCATCGGCAACTACAGCACTTGCCATCTGAGCTGCTCCGCCGGATAGAACTCGCCATCCGCCGCGTACATGGCGTGGAGCCGCATGCCGACCTCAAGGTTCTCCATGCTTGTCCTTGGCGGAAGCGAATGGTGGCTGGATGTTATGGACCGTTCGAGAGCGTTTGGGGCGCCCCCGGAACTCAGCAACTTTAGTTCGTCTTCCCGGAACTCAGCACCGTTTAGGCCACTCTGGAAGCATTTCCTGCTTCACGCGCGACGGAATGGCACCAGAAGTCCGGTGCCTTCGAGACCAGGACTGCGGACCTCGGGACTGCGGACCTGGCCGCCTTTTGGATCCAAGGGGCCAAGTAGTTGGGAGAGCAGCAAGCTGTGAACACGTCGCAAGAATTGCCGAAAGCGCTGGGGCCAAATAGCAGCAGTCGCAGAAATAGCTTGGTAGACCTGGTCACCCCTGGCGTTTGCCCTGAACATCCGGGTGGAAGTGGATGGCGTGGGCCCCATTTTCGGGACGGACCGTTCTCCGGAGACCCAAGAGAGGTAGCCAGTGACCTGAACGTTCGGACCCGAGCTACTTGGGGTACCTACTCAGGATATAGTCTATCTAGGGTTCTGACCCACCTCTGCTGGACCAGACCCTTCGACCCGGTCGATCCAGAACCACCGGAACTGGCGGCACATCCGCGAAGGCTTCGCACCGCTTTACGCCGCTTCGCGTTACGGCGTTACGGGGGCTGCGAAGCGAGAGGTCCGGTCCAAAGCGTCCAAAGACCTTCGAGACCGATGTAACCATGTACTTGGATCTCGAACTAAAAACTGGGTGTTGTGTGTCAAGATATGGACCCTCTTCTTTGAAGATAGCTGGACATTCGCCAATATGCCGATCGATACACCCCGTCAGTTGTTCCAAGTGCTAGGATTCACCCAAGAACGAGTGTAGTGGTCCGCAAATAGATAGTGGCACGGTTTCCACCACAGTGTTTGTGGGGGTCTACGAACTTCTCTCTATTTGCGGATCTGCAGGAAACACGTCTGCCACATCCATTCTCATGCCGAACGGTTCCTCAACGTAGTGAGTCCGACATCTTCGCCATTTTCGGCACGTGAGTCCGACCACCTGGACTATCTCCCGCAAGCCAGATGTGTGGAACTGGAACTGGAAAGCTGTCTGTGTCTGAAGAAATGTCTGCGGCAGCTTCCTGAGAAGTCAGGGTTCTGCAACAAGCTCTTTTGGGACATTACTAATTAGGCATAATTAGGCCATATTAGGCCGATGGCCAACCTACAAAAAAGAGAATCTCCATGAAAAAAACATGGCATC